TTGTTTTGTTTTTTATTTTAACACAGAATTCAAGGAAGAGTGGGATATTTAATCTATATTTACGTCTTGGATTTCAGTGGACTGTAATCGCCTACATGAGGTGTCCAAGGCAAGTGGTTTGTTATCATTAAGCTGCACGCAATCAACTGAGGCAGAAGCACACAATATGAAAGAATCATTTTAGGTATTTAATGTCGCATAACTGGGTCTCTCACAGCCCACGTTCAGTAAATCAGAATTTGTTTTTTTTTTGTTGGGGTGGAATTTAAAAACAATCGCATTTCCTTAAAGTGCTGTCCCAGCGTTACGAGTACAGTTTACGGCCCACACGCAGCTCTTCAACAAAATCGCTCAATGGATACGTTTATCCGCAACTAGCATACAGTGGAACAAAACTCCTTACCGATAGCCAACTAATGTAATATAAAATTCTAGAGCTTTTTCGGAGCAAGAAGGGCTTGAATAAATTATTACGCCATAATGAAATTTAACTTTTATCCTCCTGGCTGTCAGAAGAGTTAAAGCTCAGAAAAAAGAGAAAGGGAGAGAAAAAAGAAAAATCATACATCGACGCAAAATGGTACAGCCCTTACCAATGAAGATGGTCACAATTTGAAAAGTGTTATTAAACACAAAATCTTTTTCTCTGATGGAAGACTTGTCTGTTAGCGTGGCTATGTAGTCCATAATAAGTGCTGTTTTAAGATTTTCGTCCTTCGTTTCCACACAGATTACACGAAAAATGACCACGTCAATGAAGCAACCTAAGGCAAGTTTCATCCTTGGTAAGGTAAGCACAACAAAAGATTGCGTGATGGGCATTTTTTTTTATTATTATTTGTAAGAGTTGTCTGCCTTGTGGTGCCAGCATCTTCTAATACGTATATGTATTACGGCAGACGTTTGGTGAGCACAGGTTTTCAATCCTGTTCTGAATTTTCCAACCATTCTTGGGAAACTGTTGGAAATACCTCATCGATTCCTCAGTTTATTCCTGTGTGTTACAAGCCATATTTAATATATTCACCCGTATTTTCGTCTTTTGGATTCTGAAAAAGTACAAATCATGGTTATTGTTTTCGAGAGATTTATCAATGTACATGTGCAATATGATAAACCGTTGTGCACCTCATGAAAAAAAGAAACACAGAAACCAAGAAAAAATGGTAATTCAAGACGCACAACGCTTTCCTTTTCCCCTTACAGGAACCGCGAAGGTTACAAGTTTAGAAAGGTCATGGGAGGCACATGTTGACATAACCGGGGTAATAACAGTTGAACAGAAACTTGTTTTTGAGGTGAGTTTACTTTATTGTTTAATGCTAACATATTCATCGTTCTTTTTTGTTGTGGTGCAATGTGGTACTGTTGAATGCAACGAATGTCCAACTGTACAAAATTGTTGTTGTACAAAATGAGAACATATTGTGCATCATATCATTACATCGTGGGTCACTCATAGTTCTTCTTTCTTCCTTCCTTAGATGTTAGGAAGAACGACCACCTCAGAAAGGAAGCAAAAATTGGAGGTCGATCCACCTTCGTCCACAACTTGTGATCAAAGGCAGATTTTAGTATTTGTAAAGCTGCTTACCTCGTGTCAATAACACCGTGTAATACGCATGTGTGTCAAGACAGACATTTGGTTACATGAAACGCATGCTTAGAAAATAAATGTTCGTACCACAAGGTAGCCAACCTTTTTAAAGATTTAGGGAAATTGTCTGCAAGAGGTGGGTGCGGTGGGGGAGGTTGGATGGTGAAAAACAACTGTCTAAAATTATTTGTAATATTACTGTATTAAAAGATTGTAAGAAAAAGATTGTATTACCATTGTAATATAGATTAAAAGATTGTATTGTAATACTGTACTGTAATAAAATTTTTTTGTATCAGAGCGAAGAAAACTTTCTAAAAGTGGCTGGTGTGGTTGTAGATAGTGAACAGGAAACCGTGTATGGTTTCCTTCCAAGGTTGATAATTGCTAAGTGCCGTCTTATAGAGGCGGGTGAGGGTGTGGTGGGGGAGGGCGGACAGATCGAACCGCAATTTTTCATTTTATTCTATTGGGGGTCCACCCAATTTTGCTTTCTTTCCAAGATTGATATTTGTCTCTGGTCTTATATTTAAGGTGATCGTGTTCCTTGGTATCCAGCTTTGGGTGGGTGAACAAACCTGCAAAACAGGGAAATGAAATCAAGACCAAGAATTTGACCCCCAATTTTCTTGCCTTCCTTTTCATGGTCTTCTTGTATTTAAAGTAAATTGAATAAAATTAATAACGTCGAAGCTATCAGAGTAAAAGTTAAAGTTCTTCAAGAGAGATTACTTTTCCCATTTTTTTCTCCTTCCCTGGCGATCTGAAGTAAATTGCAAAACAAATATGTCTAATCACCTGAGGAACACAGGACGCCAGTCTTCAAAATGGCTTCTTCATCAAGCAAACCTTACTCCGTTGTGTAGATGAGCTTTTCATCGATGTGATTACTGTGGTAGCTTTTTTCCTCTGAAAAACAGCAAATTTCACCTGCTTTTCCTAATAGATTCTCTCTTAGGCCCAATCTTTATCGTTCGGCAATCTGCAGAAAGTTTAAGATTGCAAATGTAAACTACTTTTATATTGACGGACAGAAAATAAACGTAATATGACACAATACGATTTCAGGTTCAGTGTACTGCTTAAGTCGTTGAGTCTGAAAAATCCAAAAGCACAAATGTATCAGAATGAAGAACGCATCTCTTTTATGACATTAACTAAACAGCGATGAAAATAAAACAGAGAAGAGCGAAACTGTGAGAGAAGAGCGAAACTGTGAGCGAAGAGCTGTAAAATCCCTCGGAAAACGTGAATTTTGCTTTTGGCATGAAATTTGCATATCATAACTTCCGTTTAGCATGTGGCTTTCCGAAATGGCTTCACAATTCTAAATGCTGTAAAGTAAATTTTACAGTAATTATTGACAACACGAAAAACAATTAAGGCGAATTTTAGGCCATGGAGAACCACGTACGGAGTTGTATGACGTGAATTTGACTGATTTAATTTAATTTTATTCATTTTTAACAATAAAATAGACAGTAGCTGACTTTCTAATTGCTTGAATTACATGTTGAAGAAATAAAAACAAAAACAGAAATAAGCGTGTTCTCTTTAACATGTGCTCTATAAGATGGATTTGACGAAAAAAAAAAAAAAAGGAAAAGCGAAAAAGCGGAAAGATTTCAAGAAGTTCACAAAAGCGAAATCTTGCAGTTATTTTGGACCTTCGTGCAGTTCAATTTTAGTTTACCCTCAAAGATAGAATCAACTTTTAAAGCTATTTAAGTCCTAATGTGATTTCTTTATTACAGAGATCTCACCAAAAGACTACTTATCCAAGCAGGTTCAAGAGGTAAGATGATAAACGATCAAAAATAAGTGGACAGCATCTTACTGTCACACTGAACGTATAACTTGTAAAATATAACCATGGACTCAATAAGATGAACAGATTTCTAACCTGTAATCAGTATATAAATATATCATCTTGCAACCTTCAATCCTAGTAGAAATCATTGATTACTCTTCAAAGAAACCATTGTTTACCTGAAGAAGACAGTTTGAGCAAAACTTATTGGCGGGTGGAAACGTCTGCCAGCTTGATAAAGTGTGTAAAATTATTTAGTACTCAAATCTAAGGTAAAAAGCTCAAACTAGAAAAAAAGAAGGGAAAAAGTGAACGCCATGTCACTGCAGAGTAAAACCATCCACCCCTCTAAAGGGGAGAGAATTCGATTCTAACCGAAAATTCTAGCAGAGTATTCTGGCCCAAAAAGCGGTAATAATATATATCACAAACAATACACAATTATCTCTTAGTAAGCGTTACATCACCAAGATAAAACTTTCAAATAGCAAAGTAGGTAATGGAAAGCCTTAAATATTATTGGTTGCAACACTTCTTTACCACATAGAGCTAAAGGCCATAACGGCACGTTCTGCTATAAAGAGTGAATAGGAACATAAAAACTGCTTAACTGCATAGCTAGAATAGCTAGAATAGCTAGAATTCAAGAGTGCAAAATCTGTGTCAATTTGGCAAAAGATATTGACGTTAAAAGACTTCACTTCCCCCAAAGGCAGCTGACCTACCTTCTTTCTGCCCCATCCAGCCATGGGTTAAGGTTTTACATTGTAGTACAATGGGAAATACAGGTCCCTAAAAGAAATAGTTCACAATTTTTCTGATGAATACTTGCTGTGAATGATTAGTGGAGTGGACATGTCCCTCCATAACAAGTAGTACTGTTGACTTAAGAGAAATTAAAGATACAAAAGCTCAAATTAATAAACCTTATTTGCTGGTTTAACATATAACAGGCTCTGTTTTTTGAAGCAACAAGCAAAATGTCTGCAGCTTGGAAATATAATTAAGATTAAGTTATCCTACAAGAATCATATTACCCTACAAACCAGTAAAATTGTAACCTTAATCAAAAGATCACCTAACTCTGAATAAAACACACTCTTCACAATATCTATAGACCCCTTCTAGCACCTTATCTACAGTCACATGGTTTGGCAGTTTAGAAAA